TTACGACTAAAAAGAAAAGATCATATATACATATTTACAGCTAAGATTAATAAAGCAAAAAAAAACAACAACAACAACAACAACAAACAAACAACTATTATTATAAATATCTAAATTTGAATTGAAAAAATAAGTTCCATGTTAAAAGTCAACAAAAAAATGCACGCTTAAAGAGGTAATTATAAAATAATTGGGATAGTACGCGCGCTACGATTGGTCGAAAACCATGTTTGATGAGAGTATCAAGACACGCTCGCGTCATTTTAGCGCGCGCGAGTATTGCAACTGTCAGATTTTAATATATCGCGCGCGCTCATTGGTCAGTTTGAACAAGACGGCAGGTAGGGAGAATTTACTTAAATTTGTTTTTTTTTATCTTTTCGCGAGTTTGTTATTTCATAAAACAAATCAAAAACAGTTTTCTGTGTTGGATACTCTGATCAAAACACTTGGGATGTTGGGAGAACACTCGAGAAGCTGGAAACCACTCCGCTACTCGTCGTGGTTTCCTACGCTTCTCTCGTGTTCTCCCAACGTCCCGCGTGTTTTGATCACAATGCAGTGGCAAATGATACAATAGCCGTATGTCATTCTACGAGTCAGTTTTAAAACTGATAAAAAATGCATTTTGGTTTTCCTAGTAGGAAAATTGAAATTAAAAATCCCGAGATGTAAGTTGAGTGTCGTGTGCATAGAAACATTGAATTTAGCGGTAGTGTGGGCGAGTGAAAAACTGTCCCTAATTAGTGCAAAAGCGACATAACGACTAGACACTTAGATAAAAATATTTAGTTGTTTCACTAAAAGATTGAATTACATCAGTTTTGGTGGGTTTTGCTGAGGGAGGAAAAGCGAAGAAAAACCTTCAATCGAGGGAGCCGGAAACTTTACAAACTTTACTTACATGGGTGTAATGCCGAGTCCAGATATTCTAGTCAGTACATTACCTCTCTTCCCGAACACATGGATAATGTTACGCACTCTAATAGATTTAGTAGTCCAGCTGAACTAGAGTGCAAACAATATATCTGTGAAATATTAGTAATACTAACTTACACTATTTTATGCTAATTATGTTGCTTTCTTTTGTTTAACTAGCACTATTTTGAACAATTTAGTAAATAGTGTTTCACGGATATAGAGTACAAACACTAAAAGTGTGCAACACTTTGCACTATTTAGTAGTAAATAGTGCTAATTAAACAATAGAAAACAATAGGATTAGCATAATTTAGCAGTATTTAGTGGTATTTATGTTACACACTTATAGTGTTTGTACTCTATCATATTGTTTGCACTCTAGTAAACTTAGAATAATATGTACATTTTGTTATAAAGAAGTACATGTACTTTGAACCGAGAATAAATTAAGGTACTATAATTGAAGTCAGGATTCATAATAAAACTTGTTGAGAATAAAGGTTTTTAATTACATTTTCTGGTTACCACTACAGCTCAATTTAAAATCTATATATTGATATATTTGAAGAACATCTAGCATAAAAACGAGAATGGTGACCCCCTATTTTTATTGCAGTTTCTAAATGTCCATTACACATGAAAAACATCCATGCAAAGCGTAAAAGTGCTCTTTACTCACTGCGTCTATTGTTAGCCAAACATAGCACAGCATTTTTAAGGTAATTAAAATGGTTGTCTTGGTGTATTACAATGTATTTATTATTGTTTTCGGTGTATTACAATTTATTACACCTTAGTTGTTACACTTTGTTTCACGGGTTTTTAAAAACCACTCTAGAGTGCTCACACACTAAATCCGTGAAACAAATACTAATTTTCAGCACTAAATAGTGATAATTAAACAATAGAAAACAAAGGATTCTGTATGAAAAAAGACTAATTAGTACTATTTAATGTTCACGGTTTTAGTGCGTGCACTCTATTAGCTTTACAACTAGTACTTGTTTGAAAAAATAAATTAAGAAAAACACTATTTGGAGGAAAGAACAGGACAAGAGTCCCATATAAAGTTCCTCCATAGTTTTACGAACACTAAATACTAATAAGAAACATTAAAAACAGAAAAATACTGACATATCTATCAAAAACTACGAGGAACAGGTGATATTGTATGCTTTGCGTCAGAACCAAAAAATTCTTTCAACATTTTTCTTACAATGGTTCATATTTTCATAGAAAAACATTGAAGTAAAGGTCATAGGCACTATATATATTAGCATATTATGTTCATATAAGTGAATGCCTAAGTTTATGCCTACAAGATTTAAACTTATGCAAGCAAAAATTTCTTTTACGATTGTATTTCTTTTTTACGATGGCTATAGAAGCTAAGTACAGCTATCTCTCCCACTTGAACTTCAATGGAAATCTTTTTTATGCGCAAATATCACCAGGCTCATCGTCATTATCAATATCGATACCCTTTCTACTCGACAAACCACACGACAAAAGACGTACAGACCAATATCTGACCATCATTCAACACTACCACAGATACAGGACCGTTGATTGCTTCCGGATCCGTCTTGCCTACAAAACGGCCATCCAGGGTGAATTTCTGGACACGATTATTATCAGCATCACACACTAGTAGATGATGGTCATTATCAATAGCCAGGCCACATGGTCTACTCAGCTGACCATCATCACTGCCGTATCCACCAATCGTCGATATTCTAGTCAGCACTTTACCTTTCTTCTCAAATACATGAATAACATGATTATAATGATCACTGACGTAAAACCGTCCATCATGTGTTATCACATCAACCGGATCAAAGTTGTCCTGTGTTGTCAAACCAAACTGATATTGATAGTCACCGTCTCTTGTGAAGACTTGAACAAGATGATTGTCACGATCACACACAATGATGTTACCATCGTCATCAACGTGTACTCCATTTGGATAAAAATACTCGTCATATACGCTACGTTCGTTACCGAAAGTTTTGATCAAATTCCCTGTTAAAGTGTTGACTACACCTTATTCTATGATTTCCCCAGTCTGCTAAGACTAAATCTGTATCATTCAGGAATGCTAAATTGTCGGGACCATGAAAATGACAATGTTCCTCTACACTATCTTCACAATCATAACTCAGTATGAGATCTCCATTAGTCTTAAATACGTGGACTTTGCAATATGTAATAGTTGATAGCTGATAGTCATTGGAGTTGAAAGAAGTTTCACAGTTGTCTTCAACTTGTACAGATCTAGCGCCTATAGCGAGCCTGCTATTGTCTCTGTTTACTGCTATCATACCTGTTAAACAATTGTGAGTATCAGGCACACCTTTCATTTCAAACAATCCTGTTACTCTCATCTGTTGAGGCTTCACATTAGATACATGATTCCCAGTCACTTGAACCTCTGCTGTCAGTTGACTATCTACTTCTACTTTTCCTTCTATTTCCACGTCATCGTCATCTGTTTCGGAATGTGTCTGTATTTCTCCAAGACCTGTTTCTATTTGTTGCACCAGCCCTTCGTTAGGAATAAAGACAATTCTTGATGACAGTGGAATTGGGTTAAAGATGAATTTCTCCGAGCACTGTGTCTCTTGAATGTTCATCATTTCACTTGCCAGTCCTTTTTCGATCATATTCTTGATGTATTCCTCGACTGCTGGAATATGGGGAATTATATTCAAGTTTGTTGTGGCTGTGTCGAACTTCTCGTCTATTTGTCTCAGTAGTTCTCGTTCATTTTCTTGTAGAATTTGGATCATTTTCTTGGTCTTTTCTTTCACTTCATGTCTTGCTTTTTCTCCTNATTCTATGATTTCCCCAGTCTGCTATGACTAAATCTGTATCATTCAGGAATGCTAAATTTTCGGGACCATGAAAATGACAATGTTCCTCTACACTCTCTTCACAATCATAACTGAGTATGAGATCTCCATTAGTCTTAAATACGTGGACGTTGCAGTCTGTAATAGTTGATAGCTGATAGTCACTGGAGTTGGAAGAAGTTTCACAGTTGTCTTTATCTTGTACAGATCTAGCGCCTATAGCGAGCCTGCTGTTGTCTCTGTTCACTGCTATCATGCCTGTTAAACTGTGAGTATCAGGCACACCTTTCATTTGAAACCTTTCTGTTACTCTCATCTGTTGAGGCATCCCATTAGATACATGATTCTCATTCACTTGAACCTCTGCTGTCAATTGACTATCTACTTCTACTTTTCCTTCTATTTCCACGTCATCGTCATCTGTTTCAGAATGCGTCTGTATTTCTCCTAGACCTTTTTCTATTTGTTGCACCAGCTCTTGGTTAGGAATAAAGACAATTCTTGATGACAGTGGAATTGGGTTGAAGATGAATTTCTCCGAGCACTGTTTCCCTTGAATGTTGATCATTTCACTTGCCAGTCCTTTTTCCATCATATTCTTAATGTATTCCTCGACTGCTGGAATATGGGGAATTATATTCAAGTTTGTTGAGGCTGTGTCGAACTTCTCGTCTATTTGTCTGAGTAGTTCTCGTTCATTTTCTTGTAGAATTTGGATCATTTTCTTGGTCTTTTCTTTCACTTCATGTCTTGCTTTTTCTCCTTGTTGTTTGATAGTTTTAGCGATTTTTTCTTGTTGCTGTTGTTCCTTTTCATCTAATTTCAACTGCTCTAGTACTTGCAGATGCTTTGACAATGCATCTTTCTTGATCGAAGCAAACTTATCTAATGACATCGTCTTATGATCCTTGTGATTGTGTTTCCAGCATGTCACACAAATCATGTCATCGCAGTCTTCACAGAATGACTCTAGCCTGTGCTGAGGGTGACTTTTACAAGGATTTTCTCTTGTTATTATGAAATCAATATCTTCTTTCTTCAAATCAGCCAGACAAACGACCTTGTGATCTTTGATGAAGTAAGAATGGCTCTTCTTGCATTCTTGACACAGTGAATGATCGCATTCAAAACAATACCAAGATGCTGGAGAATGATTCTCAGAAACAGAGCAAACCTTTTCTCCCTTTGCCAACGCCAGACCCTTCAAGATTCTTGAATGCAGTGAACTTGGCTGGAGGTCTTCCACGCTGCTTGGTTCTGGTAGAGGAGTTTGTGATTTGCATCGAGGACACTTGAAGACGTTGACTTGGTCGATGAGCTCGGCGTGTCTTCCGACGCAAGGCTTACAAAATGTATGGAAACATGGAAGGATCTTCGGTTCAGTTAAAGTATCATTACACAAAGAACACTGGACGTGCTTCTTCAGATCTTCAAGGAAAGATTCCATGGTTAGCTTGAGGGAGTTGTCTAAAGACAGATGTTTCCTAGAATTAGTATCGCGCTATTAGTGAGAAAATGTAATYGATACATCACAGTATCGCGACCCTCCTATAAGTTTGATCGAGAGAGAGCCGCCAATATAGACCCGTATTGTCGGCTCAGAA